GTTTTTATCAGGAATAGATGCTGAATTTTATCAAATGCCTTTTCTGCATCAATTGATATAATAATATGGTCTAATATTAAGCCATTCTTGCATCTGTACTATGAATCTTATTTGATTGTGGAATATTATTATTATTGATGCTGTGTTGAATTCTGTTGGCTAAGATTTTATTGAAGATCTTTGAGACTATATTTATTAGAGATATTGGTCTGTAATTTTCAATTCTGGTGATGTCTTTGTCTGATTTAAGTATAAGAGTTATAGGTTGTTTGGTGTGTTTTGTTTTGTTTTTTTCAAAAAATGAGTTAGCAGTATCTTATCCATTTGAAAATTCTGGAATTAATTAATGCAAATTTGGTGTTAAGTCTTCTCTAAATGTTTGCTAGAATCCCCCAGTGAAACCATCTGGATCCAGACTTTTTGATGTTGGGAAGTTTTTTATGACCAAATCTGTTTCTTTGGGTGGTATAGACTTGTTGAGACTCAATATCATCCTGTGGTAATTTAGGTAAAAAATGCATTTCTAGAAATTTATCCATTTCTTCTAGATTTTCAAATTTTAGGAGGACAATTTTCCATAATACTATATGATTTTTTAAAATCTCATATGGTTCTGCAAAGTATGATCCACTTCATTTATTCATGGTTTTTCCCTTTCTTACTCTTTTCCTTTATATTAGGTTTGCCAATGGCTTATCAATTTTGTTAGTCTTTTCAAAGAACCAAATTCTTTTCTATGGTTTTTAAAATTTTACTTTCTGATTCATTTATTTTTACCCTAATCTTTATTATGTCTTCCAGTATCTGAAGATTTGCTTTGCTGGACTTTTTCCAGTGGAAAAAGGTGTTTATTTTCATTCTTTCTGCCTTATTGAGAAATACATATCTTTCACTCTTTTATTTTTTAATTTAAATAATTATTTTTTTATCATTTCATTGGGGGTTCGTACAACTCTTATCAAAATCCACACCTACATCCACTGTGTCAAACACATTTGTACATAGGTTGCCATCAATTCATTTTCAAAACATTTTCTTTCTACTTGAGCCCTTGGTATCAGGTCCTCAGTTTTTTCCCCTTTCTCCCCCAACTACACTCCCTCATGAACCCTTGATAATTTATCAATTGTTATTATTTTTTTCATGTCTTACACTGACTGATATCTCCCTTCACCCACTTTGCTGTTGTCTGTTCCCCTGGGAGGGGGTTATATGTAGATCATTGTGATCAGTTCCCACTCTCTCTCCAAAACATCCCCCTCCCCTCCTAGTATCACTACTCTTATTATTGGTCCTGAGGGGATTATCTGTCCTGGATCCCCTCTGTTTCCAGCTCTTATCTGTACCCATGTACACGCTCTGGTTTAGCTGTATTTGTAAAGTAGAATTGGGTTCATGATAGTAGGAGGGAGGAAGCATTAAAGAACTAGAGGAAAGTTGTATGTCTCATCGGTGCTGTACTGCAACCTGACTGGCTTGTCTCTTCCTTGTGACCCATCTGTAAGGGGATGTCCAATTGTCTACAGATGGGCTTTGGGTCTTCATTCCACACTCCCCCTCATTCACACTGTTATGATTTTTTGTTCTGGGTCTTTGAGGTCTGGTACCTGATCCCATCGACACCTCATGATCACATGGTGTGCTTCTTCCATGTGGACTTTGTTGCTTTCCAGCTAGATGGCCACTTGTTTACCTTCATGCCTTAAAGACCCCAGACACTATATCTTTTGATAACCGGGAACCATCAGCTTTCTTCACCACATTTGCCTATGCACTCATTTTGTCTTCAGCGATCCTGTCAGGAAGGTCATCATGGAATGCCAGGTTATTAGAACAAAGTGTTCTTGCATTGAGAGAGTACTTGAGTAGAGGCCCACTGTCTGTCTGCTACTTTAATACTTAACTTATAAATATATGTACATAGATATATTTCCCTATCTTTATATATTATCATATTTTCATATGTACATGCCTATATTTAGACCCCTATAATGTCCTTTGCCTCCTAGTTCTTTCCTCTATTTCCTTTTACTTTACTCTTGTCCCCCTATCATGTTCGGCCTTCATTCGGGTTTCAGTAATTCCTCTCAGTTACATTGCCCTTGATCAATCCTTAGCAGGCATCCTATACCCTGCCATCAATTTTACATCACTTGTTGTTCCCTTGTCCCTGGATTTGTTAACACCCACTTCATTTCCCCTCTCTCCCCTGCTCCCATGTCCCCCCAGAACCAAAACCATCGGTCCTGTTGTTTTCTCCTCCAGATTGTTTGTCTTGCCTATCTTATCTAGACAGACATGCAGAGACAATAATAAGCATAAAAACAAGACAGAGCAAAACAACAAAAGGAAACAATACCAACAACAAAAACCATCAACAAAAAAGAAAAGCCTATAAATAGTTCCAGTTCTGTTTGTTGAAACTTAGGAGTGTTTTCTGGTCGAATCAGATGGTATGCCATGCCCTGCTCCCAAAGTCTATTTTTGGTATTCCCCGGGGACTTCATTGCTTTGCTCCCCGTGCTGCTCTGTTGCACGCCTTTAGCGTTTCGGCCCAGGCTTTCTATTCTTTTAAAGAATTACAATCTCAGAAACTCACAGGGACAGGTCTACCTTGTCTTATGATTCAGCATTGATCTGATAGCAATGAGTTTTGTTTAGGATTTGGTCTTATTGATGTGTGCAGTTATTGCTATAAACTACCCTCTGAATATTGCTTTTCCCATGTCCCAAAGGTTTTCATATGTTGTCTTTTCCTTCTTCTTTGTTTCAAGGAATCTTTGATTGTCTTCTTTATTTCTTCAATTACCTAGTGGTTCTTAAGTAAAGTGTTGTTAACACCGCTCCCTCTTCCTTTTTGTTTTCAGCTATGGCCAGTAATTATCAATGCATCTTCAGCACATGTTTGATAAATTTTAGATCAAAGAATTTGGTATCATTCAATGTTTTTAACACTGGCAACAGTGGTCGGTGTATAAATTTAAATAGTATTTGTAGGTGTATAGACATTACTGTATCATGGACAACATTGTACTTCCAGGTAGACCTTGAAATCATCTCGACAATGAATGTGACACATTCCTGTTGAATGCGCCATTCCTGGAATAGTAAATTGCATACTTATCTGGCTCAAAATGGCCATTACCAGTCCATTTCAGTTTACTAACATCTAGGATACTGAACTTTATGCATTACATTTTATTTTTGAAGATTCCGATTTTCCTTGTAGCCTCCATCCGTCTAGTATTTAATGAAGATTTGTAACGCTTTCCTTTCATTTTGAGTCAGGCCCCAACAACAAATCAAGGTCCTAAAAACTTTACACCATCCACACCTTTAAGGTTGACTCCACTATGAGGAAGCAGCTCTTCCCCAGCCATATCTCAAGTGCCTGCTAACCTGATGGGCTCGTCCTTGGTACTATACCTGACTGTATTGTGCTGGTATTCATAAAGTTGTTAATGGTTAATTCATCAGAAGTGGCCAGCTATTTCTTCTTTGTAGTCTGTTCTGAGTCTGGAAGCTGAGCTTAAAAATGTATTGAACTCGAATGACCCCCATATAACACAATGGAGCTTTCTTGGTCCTACCTTGGTCATTCTTTCCTCAAATATCAATCATCAGAGAAGGAAAATAAAGAGATACATATTTTAAAGAGTCTTTGAAAGCCAGGTCTTGGTGGAAAGAAAATCTGCTTAGTTATATGAATGTGGGATGCATATAGTTTTCCTCCTTCCTGAAAAATCTCGTTAGGAAGTTCAGAATCTTGTACCTCTTCCCAATATGAATCCTTTCCAGAACTGCTTGAAATTTAGAATCTCCTGAACATTTGAAATTCTTATCTATAGTTTCTATTCTTTATTTCACTCTAAAGACTACATCCTAAGGATTACAATATCAAGATACAGCATTTAAACAATAGTATGTAAAATGGATATTTAGGATACAATTTCTTACTTCTAAGGTTTTTACTTTCTAAGAAAAAGCTGCAATTTTATTTTTTCTTCTAAAATGTCCAAAATTGAGTACAAAATAGAATTCTTAAAGCCATGTAATAGAGTTTCAGAAGGTAGGGATATAGAGGACTTGTCATGGCAATGAACTTGTATTTCAGGTTCGTTCATATTTCTTCAATAGCAGGATACCAGACCTAACACAATGCCTGGATATCACATGCACACAAAATAAATATATTTATTTATATTAAGTACAGACCTTCCTCCCAAACCTACAATTTCTCACATTCTTATATTTTAAACCTCACTCTTCCTTATTACTTACCACTTCCTTCTGCAGAAGGGAGGACTCCTGGTGGTACAGTGGTTTAAGTGTTTTGCTGCTCACCAAAAGGTCAGCAGTTCGATCCCACTAACCAGTATGTGGAAGAAAGAGAAGCAAGTCTGCTTCTGTAAGAATGTATAGTCTATGAAACTCTAGGGAGCATTTCTATGTCTTCCTACAGGTTCATTGTGAATTGGAATCACTGGACCACTGTGGGTTTTCTTGGTTTCTGGGGATGGGGACAGTTTGTGCACTGCTTACCTCTGCTGTGCTGCAACGTGATGTCTATGAGGAGAGTGAAAATGCCTGAAAGGTAGTTGAATAGAACAAGCTTGATGTAGGCACTAGTACTTTCCTCAAACACGAAACTCATCAGGTACATGAAGGGAATGGAAGACCAGCCATACAGCAGGAAGATTAGCATTGTGTCCAGAGCATGATCCTCCATGACAAAAACGTCCACTGAGCACATTTTGAACACTGCCTGCAGTGCAGAGATAAAGGCAAGGTGAGGGAAAATTGCCAAAACAAATTATTTAGATAGAGATTTGAACATATTTAGAGATAGACACAATTAACCCCATCTTTAATACAGATTAAATCAATTTGCCTCTTTTTAAAATTGTGAGATTCTGAGTTTGCAGAAGGCTATGGATGACAGTGGGAGCCCAAGATACATTTGTGAGATCTACACAGAAAATAAGCCTCCTGAAATCTTTGATCTTTATCAGCAAGTGCTTCTGGTCCCCCTAATTTTCAGCAAGCAAGGTTGTGTCATCTGCTTATCACAAGTTGTTAATAAATCTTCCTCTAATTCTGATGGCACATTCTTTTTCATATAATCCAGCTTCTCTGATTATTTACTTTGCATACAGATTGAATAAGTATGGTGTGCTAGTTACATAGTCTGGTGTCAACTTGAGATAATTAAGAGTGAAGGGATGGAGTTTAGCCTGTCAATCATGTCGCAGTTTGAGGACCTCATTTGGAGGCACTACGGAGATAAATAGCTCACTTGAGGCTGTACCCACGTTCTCTGCATCGTTTTGCTGCTGACAAGACACATGGAGCTACATTGATGGAACCAGAGCCCTGGCGCTGGAGGAGGCATGTGAAGACCCCTGCCAGAACTGAGATGCTTCTACCACCACTGGATTCATTCGACTTTCCACCCACAGGCCTGTGATCTTCCTGCATTTGGTGTCATTGCATGTGTTGCATGAGTCTAAAGAATTTCTGGATTTGTATCAGACCTATGGGCTAATATTGGACTTAATGATTTGATCTGGATTAGGCTGGGATGATTTCTTAATATACAATTACTCTTTGATATAAAGCTCTTTGAATATACAATTACTCTTTGATATAAAGCTCTTTTTTATACACATATGAGTCTCCCTGGATTTGTTTCTCTAGTCTACCTGGCCTAACACATATGGTGAGAGGATACAGCTCATCATTCCTGATTTAAAATCATGAAGTATTTCCTTATTCTGTTTGCACAACTCCTCTTGATCCATGTACAAGTTCCGAAATTCCTATTCTTCTCAAGTTTGTTATGATCCACAGAGTAGAATAGTCAATAAAAAATACACATCTTCCTGATTTTTCTCTATGTTGATCCATCTGACATCAGCAGTCATATTCTTTGTTCCATTGTCTTCTTCTCGATCCAGCCTGCACCTCTGACAGCTCCCAACCTTGTCAATGTACCGCCTCAACCTTTGTCGGGTGATCTTCAGCAAAATTTTACTGGCATGTGATATTGTTCAATAGTTTAAGCATTTGATTGAGTCACTTTTCTTTGAAATGGGTACAAAGATGGATCTCTTCTATGTTTTGTTTTGTTTTTTAAAGTTCCAGCATCCTTCTGTATTTTGCCTGTTGAATATCTTATATTGCAACTCAAGACGATTGTTTGCTTGATTTATTTCACTTATGTGCTGATTGTGTTCTTCCCGTTGGGTTTCTTAAATCCATGCCTTTTCACCTCTGATTATAGTATTTGACCAGTCTTCTCCAGGTGCCCTTTGAAAAGTTCTATTCAGATCTTTGATTTCGTTACTTATCCCATTTGCCTTAGCTACTCCACAATTAAGAGACAGCTTCAGAGTCACTTCTGACGTCGACTTTGATCTTTTCTTTCTTTCCTGCCTTTTTATTGACCTTTTGCTTTCTTCGTGAATGATGTTCTTGATGTCCTCTCCTAACTTATCAGTCTTCTCTGATCAGTGTTCAATGCGTCAAAGCTATTCTGTGATGGTCTCAAAATTCAGATGCGATAGACTCGAGGTTGCATTTTGGTTTTTATAGATTTTTTTAAATTTTCTTCAGCTTGAACTTGACCATACAAATGAGCAATTGACGGTCTGTTTCCACAGTCAGTCCCTGCCCATAGTTGGCTGCTGATATGAGCTTCTCTATGGTCTCTTCCCACAGATGTAGTCAATTTGATTTCTCTGTATTCCATCGTGTCCACATGTTGAAAAAAGGTATTTGCTGTGAACAAATCATCGGTCTTGCTTCATTTTGATCACCACGACCATATTTTCCAACTACTGTTACTTCTTCTGTTTCCAACTTCTACATTCCAATTGCCAATAATTCTTCAGGAATCTTGATTGCATTTTTCAATTTCTGATTTAGAAAGTTGGTAGAATTAATTAATACTTCATTACTAGCTTTTGTGGTTGGTGCATTAATTGAATAACAGTTATATGACTGGATTTCCCTAGAGGTGAGTAGATATAATCTTATCACAGACAGCATTGTACGTCAAGCTTGATTTTGAAATGTCCTTTTAGACAATGAATGGAACGCCATTCTTCTTGATTGTGGCATTCCCAGCATAGTAAATTATATGATTTTCTGATTCAAAATGGCCAATACCAGCCCATTTCAGCTCACTGATGTCTAGAATATTGATTTTTAGCATTCCACGTTATTTTTGATGGCTTGAAATTTTCCTAGATTCATACTTAGTGCATTCCAAGTTCTGATCATTAGCAAAAGATTGCAGCTATTTCTTCTTATGACGACTTATTCCGCATCAACAAATGAAGATCCTCATGTCACATGGTTGCCTCCACTCCGAAGAGGAAGAAGCTCCTCTTTAAACTCCATATTGAGTGCCTCAGACCCTAGAGGTCCATCCTCCAGCACGAACTCCAACAATGTTCTCATTACATCATGTGTCAGGCCAAGCTGACTAGAGAAACAAGTCCAGTAACACTCATATGTATGTAAAAAAAAAGAACTTTATATCAAGAAGTAATTATAAAGCAAGAAAACATCCCAGCCCATTGATCTTTATGCATTCCATTTTTATTTTTCTAGATTCAAAATTCACTTTGTAAGTTCTATGTTCCAATTCCTAATAGATGTTCACAGCTGTTTCTTCTCATTTTACTTCATATCCTATCCATCAGCAAATGGAAGTTCCCAACTCTATCCAAGTGATTATGGTCAACTCTACTTTGAGAAGGCACCTCTTCCCCAGTTGCATTCTGAGTGCCTTTTGTCTTAAATGCACTATACCAATGTTTCACTGCTGTTAATGAGGCTTTCGGTAGCTAGTGCCTCAGATGTGTGAAGCCTATTACTTCTGCATAGACTATTCAGAGTATGGAAACTCTGCTGAAACCTGCTCACCCTGGGTGCCCCTACTAATATTTGAAATGCCCGTGGCATGTCTTCGAGCATCACAGCTGTATACAAGCCACCAGAGTACAACCAACTGACAGACAAGTATAAGGTTTTCATTCCTAGTACACATTATTAAGGAACAAACTTCTCACACTACCTCCCATAGAGATTTCACTTATATGTACCCTGTAACTTGCATATATGCTTTCTACCATCTCCAAACACACACACACACACACACTTCAAAGGAAATAAATTTTGTATATGATTGGGGAGTTCTGGACTATACATTTAACTGGAAAAATGGTATGTTGTAGGTTCATATGTGTTTGTTTGCTCCAATTCCATATTTATATAAAATGAATATAATTTTAAAAATTATTACATGCTGAAATGACAATATTTTCCCTTCCCCTCCCATGTTCTCCCTCTCTGCTCCCTTAGCCTCCCTATAAACTTGAAAGTCTGTTTCTTTTGTTGTGAAAATCACTTTTCTTCTTTTATAATATTGGCCTCATCCATAATTTGTCTTTATGAGATTGATTAACTTTGTTGAGCATTTGTCTATATCATGAGGTTTTGGGCAGCTTAATCATTGCTTTATAGAGATATATAATATTCCATTACATGTATGTACCAGAGTTTTTTATCCGTGTCTCCAAAGATGGGCATTTTTGTTGTTCCCATCTTTTTGCTATTGTGGTTAGACATGGAATAGACATAGGTATGCTTATATCTGTTTGCTTGCATTTTATTATTTATTTCTTTGGGATATGTGCTGGGTATAAAGACTTCTGGATCATATGGTATCCCTAATTCATGTTCCTTTAAGGAAGTGCTATACTCTTTTGGATGGATGTAATTTGAGGTAATGAAAATCTCACTGAGCTCTTCACACCAAGGTGTATTCTTCAATTCATTCTCCTCCATACATTTCGACATTAGGGATTCCTGGGTATTAGCTTAGCCTTTAATATAGTGATATTGTATATGCCCAAGAGAACTGAAAGAAGGGATAGAAACAGATGTACAGCAGTCTCCATTGCAGCACCAGTCACAACAGACAAAATGTGGAAACACCCAAGATATCCACAACAGATGAATGGATAAACAAAGTGCATGTGTGCATACAATGGAATACTATTCATGCATAAATGGACCTAAAAGCATTACACTGAGTAAAATAAATCAATCAGAAAAGTGAGAACACTGTACGATCTCACTTATTTGAAATAAGCAAGTATATAGACACCAAAACGAGTAGTTACAGATGACTAATAGTTACAAATGACTACAAACCAAAACTAGTAGTTACAAAGGATTAGTAGTTACGGATGACTAGTAGTTACAAATGACTACAAACAAAAACTAGTAGCTACAAATGACTAGTAAGGAGGGAAAAGGGAACTTTTGCTTAAGTTGGTGTTCATGGAGGTTGAATAATATGTCAAAGGATATTGTGAATTATTATACAACCTGAAGAATGAAAGTAAAGCCTTTGAGTTACACTTGTAGTCGTTGCTGAACCAATTATGTTTTGCTGCATATACTTTCACCCCAGTGAAAAAACAGTGATTGTGCATACGTCTGCTTCAGCTGTAAACTCAAGTAAAAGAAGTTGGAGGTGTGATTTAAACACAGAAACACATGCTGAATTCCAGTATAGATGATATCAGGTGTTAAATAAGTTTTTAAATAAGTTGGCCAACCCCAAAGGAAATGAGAAAGACTGGCCATGTCTTGTAGCTCCAGCAGGCCCAAAGTCCGATATAACCCTGGAAACAAATCAGCAGTGATTAGATGGCAGGTAGGCACTTCTAGAGCAATTTTTAGATTCAGCACAAATTCAGTATTCAATAAATTTGCATTATCCATGAGAAGTATATTATCTTCTATAAGAAAAATTATTTCCTTCGAATAATGGGATGAATATGATGAAGAGAGCTTATACCATAGGATTTTTTATGTATAGCCTAAGATGCACAAATATTTTATTATCAGAGTTAGGCTAACGACACTGTTAGTGAATACAAATCTTCCATGGGGAACAGAACAAAAACGAGCCCTCATAAACCTTTATCTAACACTCACCAGGAGTAAGCAGCTACAAATGAAAAAAATGATGAAATCCCACATGAGGGCAGAAAGCCAGTATATAAAGGCATACATTCCATTCAAAAACTGGATGTGCTTCACCTTAGTGACTCTCTCAATTACTGTCAGGAGGCAGAAACCACTAATCAAAAGAGCCATGCCAAATTGCACATCTAAGGCCACCTGGCCTCCAGATTGATGCCTAAAGAAGAAGGAACAACAAAATATATATCAGCAACCAAAGAGTAAAACATAAAGATTTCTGTCAATAGTAATTTTTTATCATATGAATGCAATTAGGGCAGGAGAAATACAGACAAAATGTCAAACGAATTCTAACGACAACACACTCTTTAACGGCGTCCTCCTTATCAAAATGTGGCTGAGGTTTATTGGAGACTGTTAAGGACGCTTCAGGACCGGCAAGTGACTTGAAGAGAATGTTGTTCAACACTGTCAGGGCTGTGGGCGGGGAATGGTACGCTTCATTGTTGAAAAGAGCAGTTAGTTCGGTTCCGTTTTCATTCACATCAATGGAAAGTGCAACAATGCACAAGCGAATACAATCTTTATTTTCCATCAAGTAATCCAGGACATTTCCTAGGATGAAGAAACAAGATTAGTCATTGTATCCCCAACAGATTAGCTACAGGATTTGGGGGGAATTGGAACCAAATAGTATCACTTGGTTGTCCTCCAGTTCAATTTTCCAACAGTGGGTGTACAATCATCACCAGGATGCATTTGAGAGCATGTTCTTCATTCTTGTACTCATTACTATTAACTCCACATTTCACCCCAATATCCTCAGCTATAATCCCGAGAAAATATTAATATGGTTATTCTCTTCAGATTCAGCTATCCTGGATTTCATATAAGGAAAATCATATCCCTTTTCTCCCAAACAAAACAAACCAAACTGCTAGTAGCTAGAAAATATTTGAAAAATTCTTAAAACTCAATAGTAGAAAATATGCAATTAGAAAATGAGTGCAAGATATGTACACACAATTCAACGGACACTAAATAACACCCAAAACTCACTGTCATTGAGTCCCTTATGATTTTATAGGACTCTATAGTGACTCTATATGGCCAAGTAGAACCATTCCCTAGGGTTTCTGGAACTAGAAATCATAATAGAAACAGTGGCTTGAACTGCTGGTGTAGGGGTTGGCAGCCAAGGGTACCTGAGATTATTTAAAGATGACAAACATATGAAAATAAATGGACAATCCAATCAGGAAAAGGCAAGTAAAATGACAATAAGATAGCACTACACACAACATAAGAACGGTTAGAATAGTAGACATATTGAGGAAGATGCAGGGAAACTAGATCACTAATACATTGCTGGAGGGACAAGCACTCTTTAAAAACAGTTGCTTTAGCAACTGACCATACAAGTATCATATGCCCCACCAGGTGCATTGCTGTTCACTTATCCCAGGGAGTAGATAGATATATGTTCATACCCATACACAAATTTTCATGACAGCCTATGAAAAACAAACAAACAAAAACAAAAACTGGAAACATCCCAGAAGCCATGTCCTATGGAATAGTACTCAGTAATAAAAGGGACAAATTGATGGAAACATCTTTCAGAATTATAGAATCACATCTAGTAACACTGAATCCTTCAATCCCCATAGCTATCCCTCATGTTTACCTTTTATAATCTGCTGCACCTTCCTATAAGAATGACATAAAAATAAGACCTTTGGGACTGGCTTTATTTATTAGAAAATCGCCCAGCGGTTAAAGCATTTGGCTGCTAACGAAAAGGTCAGCCGTTTGAACCCCTCAGATGTTCTGCAGGTGGAAGATGTTGCAACGTGCTCCCATGAAGCGTACAGTCTTAGAAACCCTTGAAGCAGTTCTACTCTGTCCTATTCTATACTCTGAATCAGAATCTACTTGTCGTCAGTGGGTGTGGTTTTTGGTTTAATGCATGCACTGTTTGAGAAGAATGTTCGAGATGAATAATTAACTAGAAAATTGTTCCCTCGTTGGAAATTATTTCTTCTGGAATGTGGGGGATAAGGAGAGCACATTCGACAATATTTCCTGTCCTTTTCTTTCCCTAACAAATCAAGTTAAAATGCATACCATTTGAAGCAGAGCAAAACCATATAACATTAGTAACATGCATTAAAGAAATTCCTTGTGGCTAAGATAATGAACTTGAAAAGTATATGTAGGTGTCTTCAAACAAAGTAGGACTGGCTGACCCTACAGGATATCTGTCCATGTCTAAAGCATTGTTGTTAATGGATAGAAAGATAATGTTTAATCAAAAACCAGATAATAGCAATGGAGTTGTTACATCCTCTTACTATCTTTTTAGTCCCAATATTAATATAACAGGAAAGCATATTCAGTGAAGCATTTTACATTTTTAAATGTAATAGAAACAATCATTTTCTGAGTCAGGACATGTCATTTTCCCTCGCCTTTCACTGTGTGACCTTGGTTAACAGACTTTAACTATTCTCCTTTCAGGGAAGAGGGGATAAGGATAGTTCATTAAAATAAGTCCGTCTGTTATTTGTAGGCTGTAGACCTAAGGGAATTATGATACAAGGTGATTACTATCTTCAAATGTATTTTCATCTCACACAACAGAGCCAGAGGAGAGGGGGGAAAGATCTGCTAATTATTAGGATATAAGATGGCAGTTGAAGCATAGTACACACTAGATGCCCACTATCTAGTCAATCCCAACTCAAAGCAACACTATAGGACAGAGTAGAACTGCTCACTATAGCTTCCAACATGTGCATCTTTGCGGGGACAGATAACCTTGTCTTTCACCCACAGAATGAAGGGGGAGTTTGAAAAGCTGGCTTTGGAGCTGCAGTCTAGTTCTAACTGACTGTGCTACTAGGGCTCCTTTGAGAGTAGGAAATGATAGTACTTGAAAGAGAATCCATTCTATCCTCAGAGAGGTCATGTGGTACAGGGAATGGTTGCATTTGCAGATTCCAGGGAGATCCAATCTTTGTAAGAGGAGGCTTCAAAAAGGGGAAGGAGGGGAAGAAAGGGGAGCTGATATCAAAAAGTTCAAGAAGAAATGAAACTGTATTGAAAATGATGGTGATAGCAATTGTACAATTATGATTGATCGACTGGAACCATGGATTATAATATCTGTGAGAGCGCCTAATAAAATATTTTTTTTTATGTTACAGGGAAACTCTAAAAATCATTCCATTTCCCCATGAACTTCTTAGAGCCCTCTCATAATCACTTCAGCCATTTACCATAGAATCAATTCCAAATGATGGCAACCTCATTTGTGCCAGAATCGAACTCTGCTCCCTGTGGTTTCAAGTGCCTGGATTTGGGAAAGTAGATCTATGGGTCTTTCTTCGGAGATGTCTCTCCTGTCAACCTTGTAGTTAGGCGTCCAGAGCATTATCCATTTGCATGATTCAGGGATTCCTGTATTTATCTGCATATCTGAGTTGGAGCAAATTACTCCACTTCCTTAAATATCAATCTTGCTGCTGTGTTAGACGCCATCTAGTCGATTGTAACTCATAATGACCCTATGCACAACAGAATGAAACCCTGCCTCGTCCTGCACCATCCTGATCATTGTTCCCATGCTTGAGCCCATTGTTGTAACCACGGTGTCAATCCATCTTCTGGAGGACCTTCCTCTGTTTCGCTGCCTCCCCACTTGACCAAGTGTGATGCCCTTCTCCAGGGACTGGTCTCCCCTGACAGCACGTCCAAAGTATATTAGATAAAGTCTCACCCTGGCCATCTTTCTTCCAAGACAGACTTATTTGTCCTTTTGTCACTCTATAGGATTTTCAATATTTCTTCTCCAGAACTTTAATTCAAATGCATCGACTCTTCTTTGGTCTCCCTTATTCCTGTTCAACGTTAACATGCAGAGGAGACAATGGAAAATACCATGGTTTGGATCAGCCCCACTTTAGTCCTCAAAGTAACATCCTTACTTTTCAACACTCAGCAGATTTACCCAGTGTAATCTGTCTTTTGATCTCCTGACTACTGCTTCCATGAGCATTGATTGTGGATCCAAGCAAGAAAAAATGTGACAACTTCAAACTTTTCTTCATTTATCATGATCTTATCTATTGGTCCAGCTATGAAGATTTTGGTCTTCTTTACACTGAATCATAATCCATACTGCAATATTTTTATCTTTATCTGCAATTGCTTCAAGTCCTCTTCACTTTCAACAAGCAAGGTGATGTCATCTGCATATTGCAGGTTAAGTATGGTAAGAGCATCCAACCCTGAGGCGCACCTTCCTGGTTTTAAACCATATACCCTTCCTTTGCCCTGTTTGCACAACTGTCTCTTTATCTATATACAAGTTCTACATGAGCATAATGAAGTGTCCTGGAATTCCCATTCTTTTCAAGGTTATCCATAGTTTGTTATGATCCATAGAGTATACTTCATTGGGCAAAGTCGATAAAAAACCAGCAAATATCTTTCTGGTGTTCTCTGCTTTGAGCCAAGATCCATCTGACATCAACAATAATATCCCTTATTCCACATCCTCTTCTGGATCCAGCCTGAACCTCTGCCATCTCCCTGTCCATGGACTGCTGCAACCATTCGTGGATAAACTTCAGCAAAATTTAGTAGCATGTTGTATCAATGGTATTGTTATATAATTTGAGCATTCTGTTGGGTCCCCTTTCTTTGGAAAGGGCACAAATATCGATCTCTTCCAGTCAGTTGGCCAAATAGCTGTCTTCCAAATTTCCTGGCATAGATGAGTAAGTTCTTCCAGTGCTTTATCCATTATTGAAATATTTTCCATTGGTATGCCATCAATTGCTGGGTCCTGGTGTTTGGCTAATGTTTTCAGTGTGGATTTAACTTCTTCCCTCAGCACCATTAGTTCTAGTAGCCTATATGCTACTTCCTGAAATGGTGGAACATCTACTAATTTTTTTTGGTGCAGTGATTCTGTGTATTCTTTCCATCCATTTTTGATGTTTCCTGCATCCGTCCATATGTTGCCTATAGAATTTTTTATATTGTAACTCAAGCCTTGAACTTTTTCTTGAGTTTTTGCAGTTTAAGATATGCCAAAGACATTATTACTTTTTGGTTTTCTAACTCTAACCCTTTTCACATTTAATTATAATAGTTGACTTTGTCTTCTCCAACTGCCCTTTGAAATGTTCTATTCAGCTTTTTGACTTCATTTTTTTACATTTGTCTTAGTTTCTCTACAATTTAGGCAAATTTCAGTGTTTCTTCTGACATTCACTTTAACCTTTTCTTTCTTTCCTATTTGTAATGACCTTCTGCTTTCTTTGTGAATGATGTCCGTGATGTCCTCCCTCAGCAACTCAGGTCTTCTGTCGTCAGTGTTCAATGCATCACATCTGTTTTTGAGATGTCCTCAAAATTCAGATGAGATCAGCTCAACGTTATATTTTGCCTTTGTGGCTTGTATCACTTTTCTTCAGCTTTATCTTGAACTTACATATGAACAATGGATGGTCTATTCCACAGTCAGTCCCTGGTGTGGTTTTGGCTGCTGACATTGAGCTGCTCCATAGTCTCTTCCCACAGATATAGTCAATTTGATTTCCATGTATTCCATCTAGAAAAATCTATGGGTTGAGTTGCCTTTTGTGTTGTTAAAAAAAAGTATTTGCTATGAACAAATAATTGGTCTTACAAAATTCTGTCATGTGATCTCCAGTTTTGTTTCTATCACTAAGTCCTAATTTCCCAATTACTGTTCTTCTCCTATTTCTAGCTTCTGCATTCCAACAACCAATAATTATCAATGAATTTTCATTGCATGTTTTGCCAATTTCTGTCTTAGACTGTGGTATAATTCTTCGATTTCTTCATCACTAACTTGTGTGACTGGTGTATTCATTTGAATAATAGTTATAGTGATTGGATTTCCTTCAAGCTGGATAGATATGATCCAATCACCGGCAACGCTGTATTTTAAGATTGATTTTGAAATGTCTTTTTGACAATGACTGCAATGCCATTCCTCTTGATTGTATTATTCCAATGTAAATGGTTTTATTTTCTGATTTAAAGCAGCCCATATCAGTCCATTTCAGCTCACTACGACTTAAGATATCGATCTTGATACATTCTATCTCACTTCTGATGACTTCTCATTTTACTTTGTTTCAGACTTCTGTACATTCCAAGTGCCTGATCACTCGCAGATTTTTGGAGTTATTTCATCTTATCTTGAGTCGTGCCCCATCAGCAGATGCAGATCCCCAAGACTCCATTCCCACAGGACGAACTCCTTTCTCATGACCATGGTTGACTCCACTCCGAAGAAGCAGCTCTTCCTAAGTTACATTTTGAGTGACTCGGACCTAGGGGCCCATCCGTGGACACAATCTCTGACAATGTTCTGTTTCCATTCAATAGGCCTTCACTGTTTCAAAGGTGTGCATAAGGTTTTCAGTGGCTACTGCTTTTGAAGTGGTCAGCCAATCCCTTCTGCATTGTCTGTTCTTCACCTGTAAACCCTGCTGAAACCTGTTCACTGTGGGTGACACTCCTGGCATTTGAAATACGAGTGGCACAGCATCCAGAATCACAACAACACATAAACCACCACCACAGTGCAATATACTGACAGACAAGTGGAGGCAAATACCAAAGTGCCTAATTTTATTAAGACTAATTTTTTTTTTTTAATTACGGTGACTACTCACACTAAATGATATGCAGGTAAAGTTTTTTAGCCCGGTTTTAGCTTAATAAATGCTTGGTAAATGTTAGCTTATTATAGCAACTTAAAATATATTCGCTGAGATAACTAGCCCCTTAAGCCTCCAGTAGACCTGTTTCAGGTATTACTAAAACAGTCATTATAATAAATAATAATAAAACACAACAAAGAATAGCTTTCTTGACTCCAATTTAGACTCTCTCCGACTGGTGAAAGGGGCCCTTGTCTTGCTGTCTCAAGCATTGCCCTTGGGAGGAGGACAAGGCCATCTGCTCTCATAAAGATTGACAGGCTTAGACACTCTATATGGGGTCTCCAGAGGAATCAGAATCAATTTGATGGTGGGGGGCAGGGTGAGTGTGAGACTGGTGACTAGCAGGAAAATAAAAGAGCGGGTAGATACTACAGTTAAAGACTCTCCTTCCCCCATAACGCTCAGAGGTCTCTGTCGATGAAGGGTTTTGTTTTTGTTGTTAGTAAGCTTTTACCTTGCACTCTCCGAAGTATTTGTTTTTCAGATTTTAGCATAATCTCAAGCTGTTTTAAGAGATCCACAGCCAAACTAGAATTCCCAGAAATCGATAAAGGCACAATAGTTTGCCCATATTGATGCAAAGCGATTTTTCTGGTGATCTCTCCAGTCTCCGCGGATAATTCGTCAACTTTCAAAAGGAAGGCAATGACACCCAGAAGGCCCAGTATCTGCAGCAACACTAGATTCCAGTTTCGCCAGCTGAACAAAGCTCTCTTTGTGAACATGGCTATGAACTGCTGGCAGTAGAGGACACACTGAAAACAAGATAGAAGTAAAATTACATCGGTCATAGACTTAAACATGTCCTTGATGTTGAAAGTCACTAAGACAAATGCTGTGCAATATTATTACAGAAGACATATAGTTCATCATAGCACTTAAGCATTATGAACCAGAGTGGTGATAATATAGTCAGTTTTTTCTGTGTATAGGGCAAGAGCTGCAAACTGATGACCTATTATTGTAAATAAAGTTTTATTGGGACACAGCAATGCTTATTAATTTTTATATTGTCTGTGGTGGCTTGCACACTATAGGGACAGATTTGAATGACTGTTAGAGAGAACATATGGTCCATAAAGCCTAAACTACTTACCACTAGCTAGTCCCTTTACAGAGAAAGTATGTAGACTCCTGCTGCCAGATATTAGATTAAATGATACAGATATGGTTTTTTGATATGAAGTTGTTTACTCTCACCAGGGCGATTTGCTTATTTAATCATACTGCATTATCTCTAGCCAGGAAAACAAAATCCTATCGATTTCTCTTGTGATCTTTGGATTTTTTTCATTTCCTAAGGAAAATGTTCTAAGAAATTTTTGAGATAAACACACACCTACTGTACAGTTTTTATTAATAGATTTCAAGATATTAGACTTGGTTTGCAGTCATACCATGCCCTTACTCTGACACATGAGGGCATTCTGTATGTTTTATATTCTCCAAAAGCAGGGCACAGTGCTCTTTGTAGCTTTCACAAAAATGAGCTATTGGAAATAACATCAAAATATGAAAGACTACACTCATTCAGAGATCAGAAATTTTCCTAAGATGGCTTTATCTGCATCTTTTGTGAAAGAGTAAATAGGAAATATATAAGTGTACAAACATTAGAAAATCACATTCCTTAATCATGTGATACAAGTAAAATTTGATATTTTAGGTGTTATTTAATTAAAATCCAAAGTGCCATGGCTAATTCTGGGGAAATTCGATCTCCATCTGAATCCCCACCTTTTCAGATAGTTCATACTACCCTTGGTATACATATTCATAGGGCCACTTAAAAAAAACATATCCTATATTTCAGCCTTTCAATAGTCAAGAAACCCCAGGCAATTTAGAGGGGAAATAAATGTTCATAAGAAGAATAAAGAAGTGCTTGGCAGCTAACGAGACTTAATATGATTATCATAGTGATTTGAAAATGATCCCATAGATAGCACAATTCCATTACAAAAGCATATATATTTCATATACTAGACATTCTTGATTATTAAACATCAGGTAACTAGTGGCCTTGATCAATAGTCAGTGAACTAACAGCTTCCTGGGTTATCAATTTACTAACAAGGAATTCTAAAAGAAAGCTAAGAAGAACTTTGAGGAAAAACGGTGGTGATGAGTAACAGTTGATATCTAGAACCTCTGGCTTTTGCTTTGGGGAATTAATTAGGTGTGGAAGAGATAGACAATTTCATGTATAGTTGGACCTGCTATTCCAGAAAACTCCATATTTCTTTCACTTCAAGTATTAAAATAAAATGTATTTCTTCTGCCCTAACCAAATATCAGGCTTCTTAATGAAGATGCTTACCCCAGTATTAAATTTAATAGAGTTTTCAATCAGGCCAGAGCAATCTACTATCTCAAAAGATGTGGCAGCATTCACATTTTGGTTCTTGTTTGGGTCTTTGTCCTGAGGCTCTTTGACATCTTGTGACTCTGCTTCATTATTGACCCTATGTTAAAAAAAAAGCAGAAAGCATTTCATTTCAACACTATCCCGAAATACAGAACCCACAGAATGTGAGCCACAGCCTTCAACTCAAAAAGTGACTTGATTTTCTCATTGACCGGCAGGAGCACTGTATGGAAGCAACAGAGCTTCTGGAAGTCAAGTTCAAGTGAGAAAAACAAGGGCAATATAATGAATGAACGATTCTGTAAGTTGAACTCATTAAAATTAGAGTAACAGCTAAATCCTACTCTGAGTGAGTTAAAACGTGCATTTCCCCCCCAACAGTTTTATTGGCACATAATTTACATATCATACAATTCAATAGTTCAATTATTTAAGCATATCAAGGAGAATTGTATAATCATTATGACAGCAAGCCCCCCTCCCGCCCCGTTCAGATGAGTTGTTAGATCACAATCAGTTCTCCTGCTCCCTCCCTACTCCCGCCTTCCTTATTTACTCTAAAAATTCCCTTTCCCTCTCTATTACCCACCTCCCCCTGCATTCCTTATAACCCCTTGTATCAGTTATTATATTTATGCATCCACTCCTCCTGTGCTTCACAGCTGGGAAAACAAGGATTAACTCATCATAGTATAAAGACAAAAAATACAAATAATGAGTAAGAAGGAAAAGACCCACATCAGCCAGGGAAGAAATTTCTGTCGTGAAACAAGTAAGAGATACTTCCACCCAGAACAAATTCAGGTCATGTCTATCAGGAGGTCATCTGGCCAAGAATCAAGTTTAATTCCATATAATCAAGATTATAATAGTCTCCGCTTAAGAGTAAGGCTGTTTGAGACTCATGCCGGTGGCTAGAGGGAATTTGCCAGTGGCTCAGTCTGACTAGATACTCTGCAGATGGGTTTTAGGTTCCCACTGTCCCCCATAGCCCTCCAAAAAGTGGGAGTCCATAATTTTAGCTCTGATACTTTTCTCTTCACCATATTAGAATTTTATTATTGTTATTTTGGGATCACACAAGCTGGTGTGCTTCTTCTGTGAAAATATGCACTCCTTAATGAAGTTATTATATACACTCATGGCATTGAGTCAATTCGACCTTATAGTGACCCTATAAGATGGAGTAGAATTGCCCCTGTGAGTTTCTGAAACTGGAAATCGTTACTGGAGTAGCAAGCCTCATCATTCTGCCACAGAGTGCTCATGGTTTTTGAACTGCTGACCTTATGGTTAGCAGGCCAATGTGTAAGCCACTACACCACCAGTTTAGATAGAGATAGATAGATAGACAGATAGACAGACATTTAATGTATCTATAGAGATATGTATCTCTATATAGATATATCTCTATATAGATTTAATATATCATTATATTAAATATATACAGATATCTTAGTCACTTCACTTTAAATTTTCTAATGTGTAAAATCTGAAATTTCAATTAGCCTCCAAAGTGGAACCGGTGTTGCCCTTGCCTTAGAGGGCTTTGCTTGTCTCCATGTACCCACCTAAGAAAGACTTCTTCCATGGTAGTGACAGAGGCGCCAAAGCCAGCAATGCCCAGCTCTTTCTGTCTCTCTTCCAGATCAGTAAACAAAATTCCAAACCTAGATGAAAAGAGAAAAAACAAACATAAACCATATGATTATGTGGAACATTTTTAACTGCTATCCCTTAAGCAGTGGGGAAAATGTAGACCATACTTCGCCATAATGCTTATCATTCTGATGCCCCTAGTAAGTCAGAAATGTGGGGTAAGTGAAGAGAAGAAATGAGCAAACTTCTATAACCAGTTGCTTTCCTCTCTGCTTTTTAAAAAAAAACATTTTATTGGGTGCTCATACAGCTCTAATCACAATATATACATCCATCCATTGTGTCAGTATTTACATCTTAAAGAACATTTTACATGGGTAGAGGCTGCAGTCTCTCTGCTCCATTACTCTTTCACTCACACTCCTCTCTTTTTGTTTTTGTTAAATACTTGTATTGGGGGCTCTTACATCTCTTATCACAATCCATACATTCATCCAGTGTGTCAAGAACATTTGCACATATGCTGCCATCATCATTTTCAAAGCATTCTCTTCCCACTTGAACCCCTGATATCAGCTCCCCATTTCTTCCCCTTCCCTCCCCCGCCTGCCCTCTCTCATGAACCCTTGATAAGTTGTAGATTATTATTTTCATATCATCCTCTGTTGACCCTCACCCACTTTTCCATTGTTCAACCCCTTGGGAGGAGGGTATAAGTTGATCCTTGTGATCAATTCCCCTTTCTCCTTCCACCCTTCCCTAATCTTCCTGGTGTCTCTACTCTCATTGTTGGCCCTGAGGGGTTTGTTTACCTATCCTGGATTCCCTGTGTTGTGGGCTCTTATCTGTAGCAGTGGGCTTGTTCTGGTCTAATCTGATTTGTAAGGTAGAATTGAGGTCTTGATAGTGGGGGGAAGGAATGCTTAGTTTTTATATACTTAATTTTTGTCTTCTAACATAACTGTATATGTTATTAACTACAACTAGTTGATATGAGTTAATTTATCACAAAGTATATGGTATATGATTCAAAGTGCACTGGTAGCGTAATGCTAAGTGCTAACTGATCAAATTGGTGGTTCAAACCCACCAGCTGCTCCACGGGAGCAGAACACGGTTGGGTCGTCTGCTTCCATAAAGATTACAGCCTTGTAAACCCTCTGGGTAGTTCTACTCTTTCCTTATAGCGTTCCTGTGAGTTGAAATCTACTCTGTGACACAGTACAATAACATGGTTCTTATTACTCAGTACCTTGAAAAATGAAACCAGTCCCAAAGTAATAAAACTTTCAGAAATAGAAATTGAAGTAGATGCAGCAGGAGATGAAGACTTAGAGCGATCTGGATAATTAAAAAGCCAGGGGGAGATCTATGGTAGTTGAGCAGATGCAAGATTCTTAAAGCACAATTTGTCAGGGCAGATTTTAAAACCTATTATTGGGTTCAGAAGATGATCTTTACCAGGAACTTCTAGTTCCCAAAACCATCTCTATCACATTCGCATAGAGAGGCAATTTAACCTAAGTTTTTTTTGAGAGCCAGGAAATTATCTTTAATGGTACCTCAGAGCTGTGTTATATGAGGTAATAAATGACCTTGGTTCTTCTAAGTCAACTATATCTGGACATTGTTACCTCCAACCCAAACCATCCTATAATAGCCATACAATGGAGTATTTTACAACCACTAAAACAAGTTATGCCACAGAATTATATTTATTGATATGTATGAACAGCAGATGCACAGTTAACAACAACCACCAAAAACCAAACACAAACAAAAATGTTCCAATTCTTAAAAACTGTTTGGAAATTTCATTTGCCAAGAAAAAAATTCTCAAAGGCTATACTACAAGGTTTTGAAAGTAGTTACCTCTGAAAGAGAGGATCTAAATGCTTTTATTTTCTGTTTATTACCCCTACACCAGCATATATTTATAATTATTTTTATTTGTCAAGCCAATCTGATTTAGGGGAGAAATAAAAAGAGGTGAGCCTGTTTAATTGAACAATCTTGACCTGGAAGTCTACTTTTTTAATAGGAAGATGGTTGCAGGATTTATTTTGAAAACAAAATTTGATATTAGGTATTCATTTTTCCGTGAGTACAAAGTTTTCATTTGTCTTTGCTACTTAGGAAGTCATATCATGATTTTGTACCATTTCGTATTAGTATTTCTTCTGTGAAGCAAAAACAGTCCCAAAGTGCAGGATCTTCAGGTGTCACAGGAACAGCAGACACTATCAAATCATTGAAGGTCAGAAACTTAAACGACCTCTCAGTAGGTTTAGCTTCATCTTGAGATGGAGCATCCTGATGCTTAGATCCATCGGGTTTCTTAAGAGCTACTGAAACAAAATGATGCTCATCAATGTTGCTTTCCTCAAACACCCATTCTTTTTCTTCCTTCCCATTTAGGAATAAACCAGTTTCTCCTAAACTTGGCCTACATCCAAGTTTAACGGGGATATATCAAATTCAAGTCGTCATTCAAATACCAATGGCTTTTATGAAGCTTTCTTTCAATGCCCAATTTCTAGAAAACATCCAGTTGAGTCCATTCGTCCTTAAAGCTTCTGATGGTTTCCCACTCTTTGTTGGTAAATTTTCTTTTCATAATATGGAAGAGCTCTGGAATTGAACCACGACCTGGCAAGCTAGTCTTCATTCTATCAATTCCAACTCGCAGCTCAGGTTCAGAAGCAAGTACCGCCTAGTCCCCTTGATGAGGAATTTTGAAGTTGAAATTGGGATAAGGATTCAATGAGTCCTTTGCAAGAACTAGTTTTCCTTGTGCAGTTCTTTGCAAATGAATATTATTACAAGCGACATTCTATTTCTCTGCAACCAATTTCCTTATCATCAGACGACCAGCCATGGCTGTCTTTACGTCCTGGGAAAAGACGAACTGGCCAATACGCTCCTTCTCCTCAGGCTGGATCGGTCGCACCGCCAGCAGCCACTCGGCTCTGCTGGGCAGCCAAGTGCCCTGTCGCAGGAAAAGGCCCAGCGCTCGCCCTCCATGGCTGGCACTAAGCAGAACCGCTCGGCAGAGTAAATCATTCACTGAAAACGGACTTTGCCGCCACCCCTGGGAAGAGATGGCGCACAATTTAACCTATTTTTAATGGTTTTATTTTCATATAGTTGACATATAACAAAATTTAATTCCTCCATCATATTAGGAAGAGTTGTGTAATCATCACCATAATCAATTTCAGAACATTTTCTTCTTATACTCATTGTTGTTAGCTCCCCATTTCCCCCAAGCTTCCCTCACCATGCCTCTAGGTAATTATTCATCCAGTTGCTGTCTCTGTAGGTTTACCTATCTTGGATTTAATATACAGAAAAACATACCCCACCCCACCCCAAAAAATCCTTCATCTGGAAGATCGGTCAAAATATCTTCCATAGTTGAGCTTAAAATACTTTCCAAGTAATACATCTGGCTTTGCACACTAGTTCTGAGAAGGAATGTTCCACAACTAAAGCTCTTGAAATGAACAGTACTGCTGGCTAGAGGGTGAGTCAAATCCCTCTTTGTACAAAATCCCTCTATTTTTGTACTTCTCTGTCATACAATATAATACTGACTGTCACTTCTGTGAACATTTCTCGTGCTCTCTTTAACCTACAGACAAACAGTTTCTGCAGAAAAATGCCGTTTTACCCACCTCATTGTCCTTAGGAGTCCTGGGTGCTCAGGAGGGTCACTGTTGGGCTGCTCAGAAAAACGCTACTGATGTGAACCCACAGCTGCTCCATCTGAGACAAAGGACACAGTCTGCTGCTGCAGCGTCTACAGCCTCAGAATCCCTCTGGGGCAAGTCTGGCCTGACCTTGTAGGGTAGCAATCAGACTGAATGGACTCAGTAGGAGGGAGAAAACTCTACTTATAGACCAGTGGATGGTTAGAAATAGCTGAAACTAAGACAAGAATATTTGACTTGGACGGGTGTTAAACATTGTGCTAAGCATGTGGCCTTAGTCACTAAGCCAAATCTAAGCAAGCAACCCTCCCAACTGTACTTGCCATTTCCCAAATTTGTGTTCTAACTCACCCAATTTATAATTAAAATTGATGATGTTAACTTTTTGGTATCAAAAACCCTTTCATCTCTCCTTAAACATTAGAGTACTTAGTGGTTTACTTGTAACCACTCTATTCCTTCAACAAACTCTTTCCCTTTGTATTTCAACCGAAATCATCATAATGCCAAAGTTAATTATTCTTAACACAGGCTGTAGATGTCTACATGTTAGAAATCATGTGATTTTAATGATCAGCCAAAATGCTGGTACATAAAACCTAGCAGGGCAGAGAATGCTAACATCCTGCAGAGGTGGAACTTTGTAAGTGTTAACCAATCAAAAGGATCCACCTGTCTCCCTTGCCTTGCAGTTTTTGCCTTTATTAACTTCTGTCCCTCTGAAGCTCTTTGGAGCACTTTGTCAAGACCTTCTTTACCTGTGTAAAGCAAAACCATCCCTTCACTGTGTAAACTATTTTATATTTTCATCAGATATGTGATTTTTGTTTCCTTTATAGGTCTCATCTTACCTTTTGGGATTATATAGAACAGATATAATCTACATAAATGACAACCATTCACATAATTTAAGCCCATTTCCCTCTTGGCTTCTTCATTCCTAATACATGAATTTTCAAAAAGCTTAACCTGTATTTTCTTTTATAGTATTTAGTAATTACTCTATGTGCATTGTATAAAATTCAGAAAATGAATATATAAAAAATTAAAATCTATATTGCCAGCTGCTTTTGAAATAGTACAGTATATTTTACTCTGTTCAAATATGTTGACAGATTTGGTCTACACTCAGAAAAATGAATAATCAATCATGACTGTGAAATAAAGACATTTTCAGATGAAATAGGTAAAAATCACTTTAATACTATCCTCCCAATATGGTTTGATCTTTTTACTCGTTTTGTTTCTTTTGGCTTTCACAATATATGGCAAAATTATAATAAAACTGTGGTACTTTGAAGTACATTAGCATAGCACAAAATAGTGAATCATAAATATATGACTAGATAAATTATTAG